AACATATGGTGTTGTGGAGCCAAGTTGAGAGAGGTAAAGCTAAAATTCGAGGAAGCTTAGATATCGACGAATTAAACGTAAACATAAACATTTGAGGGAAATCTGATAATAACCTGGTAAAGTGTGATTCCATCTGCGAGCGAATATGGTCGTATTGGCTTTGGTTCGATAATTATTTGATGTGAATTTTCGATATTTTGAGAGCATACCATAGCAGATTGTGCAGCCCTAAGTGTTTGGTGAAGCATACAACTCTGGAATAAAGCAAAATCAAAGAAGCAGCTAGTTTCTTCAGTTGCATAACGTGTGACTAATATAAAGGATTGATAAAGGAAAGGATTATCTTCTCTATCAGTGCGGGAAGATAGGTGAAAATGTTAGATTGGATAGTAAAGAAAGTCGTAAAAATGAATTTATCAAAAACTTTGAGCTTGCGGATGTAAGGATCAACTTCTGCACTAACAAACAAATTGCTTCAGCGGCCTGAGATACACAATCCTTCTTGAACAAAAAAATTTCGCAATCAGTAGAATGTGTACAGCCTAATAAATAAAATTTACATCATCACATCATTTATTACAAAGTAGAATCAAAAGTTGGGAGGAGATAAGTAAAATAACATATTAATAACCTGTTGACTTAGAGCTTCTGTCTTGCTCTCCTCGTGGATTCTGCTGCCTAGAATTTCAAATTTATTAACAAATACTTTCTCACTACTCTAATTTCAATAAGATGTACTTCTTATTAATTAACCTTTTTTGTATGTTTATTACTTCATAAATGGTGTATCAAACCAGACAGACAAATTTTGCCTTTTACACTAAAGATGAGAATTTATTCATGCAAAAATCCAAAAAAAAATCTTACTTTTTGCGAAAGAGTACTTATTTATTCTCAGGAGACACGCAATAATCAATTTCATATGTTTCATAGTACAAAACACTCATTATTGCTCAGTATTTGAACTGGAATTTGTTTTAGAATGAAGTAATACTAAACAATCCTAATGCGTCAACAGGCCACGGTTGTATTTATATGAAAATGTTTGAAACATGCGAAATCAGATCAAAGAGTTTATAGCAGGACATCTATGAGCTCCCATGTGATTTGTTGCCTTGCAAAACAATGTAGTTCAGTGCTAGAAAAGTTAGTGGGGTCTAATCGACCATTCGGTAACGTTTACCGTCGAATGTGGGTGACAACGTTTTGTAGGTCAGGCCTTGAAATTACAGAAGGGACCGCGCGATCGAATGCTCTCTGGCCGCGACTCTCCTGAAAACCATCGTATCTCGCCAATTGGAAATAAGGGCACAAGGTCGTCGAAGATCGACGTGAATCAACGCCAAATGCTGACCGTTCCACGAGTACCGATACTCTTGAGGAAATCCACGGCTTTTACGTGCTTCAAATTAGCATGGATTGTTGTGGGCAGTAATGGGTAACGTACTTGCTTCGGAACGTTCAGACGGCGTTAACGAATTGTACGCCTACATAGTGTATAAAGAATTCTTATAGACTGCAAAATTGGGTGCAGTACTAACATTAAATCCACAACCAAACTTTGAAAAATTAGAATTTTGAGTTTTGTTCTTTCCATCCATAAAAAATGTCCCACCTCATAAGATAAGAAAAGCGATTGATCACTTGTGGAGGATGCAACCCATTATAGATATCTTTTAATTTCTGCGAAAAGATTCCTGGAAGAATCTAAGGGGATTTAAACTACTCGAGCTAATGCTGAAATTGCTTTGGCCGAAGGCAATGCAACTCTGAGTTACTATGATACTGGTCTTATAAGAAATGATTTTGTTGCCTTTACGTTGTTTATGCTTTCTAGGCTGCCAGGTTAATGCACAGTACTAGTACACATCGCTTCAATTACCGCTTAAAATTTTTTTTATCTTCAGCCAATCCATTTTATTGACTCTTGTTATCCTGAATACTTTTAACAAAATTCAGAAACGGTGAACTAAAAAGACATCGTCGGAACCTCTGTCACACAAGAATATCCCTCAGTGGTTTCATATAAAACAAACATGCTACATGACCATTACCAAGAAAAGTACTACGCAGCATTAATGTGAGAATTTCACTTTTGATACCCTCAATTTGAAAAGCGATGCTCATGTCAAGTTTGGGTTACGCGGCGAAGGATTGAGGGCAATGGTGAAGGTCGACATAGTAAAGAGTGTCCAGCTGCGGAAATTGCATATCGCAAAGGTGCGCGTCAGCCAGAATTCGCAGGAAAGAGTTGTATTTTTCTAAAAACTCTACCAGAAAAAAGAGAATCATTAGAAATCTGAATGATATAGTTCGCAAATGAGCAACTTATCTCTAATTAGAACAATATCTAGGAGAGCTTTGGATATTTTCTGGAGTCCGGCTTATACTAGTATAGACTTACCGTCACTTTTATTGTTTTAAATATAACGTAGATAAATAAATAAATAAGTATATATATGATGTATATATAATGTGAGCATAAAAACCCGCGGTTGAAAATCAAGGAAAATGACCTAGGGATTTTAAATGCAGCTATTTTCCTTCAGCAACCAATTTTCTTCGTAAAAAAAGTTCTAGGTGCTTAGTATAGTTAAAAGTAGACTGGCATGAAGGGTCTTAACAGATTTGCCCGGCATAGTCCATAAATTAAACACGAATCATCCACTTTTGTCAGAAATCTGCAATTGGCTGCATACTTCGAGAAATAAGGTAATCATGACCGCTCCTTGTTGAAACATTGATCAAAATAATCTGTGAAGGAGAGATGAGACAACAACACAATGGGAGAAGGTTATGGCGAAATGTTTATACAAAGCAGAGTTTCAAATGACGTTTTCCTCTGATGAGGTATGAACCAGAGAAAAAGAAGCTATGACTTACTTGGCGTTTTCGGACAAAAGGCATTTACAAATTTCAAAAATCTCGTAGTCTAAAGTTGCAGCGGTAACAAAGCAAACTTTAATGACTATGCCTCAGCAGCAGAGTCCCCACACTCATAACAAAGTTGAAGTTTCACTGTCTAAGTATTCACTGCCTGAAATGACGCGGATCTTTCACGACCTTGCATCAATAGGTCATCACCTACTTTTGGCTGCAATTATGGATGTTTCATTAAAGAAATTGGCCTGAATCTCCAAATTGAAATTACAGTATCGGACAGGAAGACTAGAAAAGAGAAAACTCGAACAACCTGCCAATTTAGTCATTTGGCAGAAAAGTCTTTGCTCCCAGGAGATCTTAAGTATACATCTCTAAAAATGAGCAAATTCTTAGCACTTAAGTCCAAAGATTCACAAAAGCTGCATTCTAATATCAAGAAGAGCCTAAAGTCTTTACTGTAATATTATAAATTAATTTGCTAAAAAACGTATGCTTTGAGAGCCAGCATATGGCAATATCGGAAGTAATTTACCTATTACATACGAGTACAATAAGGGTGAAGTAAGTAAAGGAACGCAGGTTATAAGCGGATATTAAACTTTAGGTGTACCTTCTGTATAAGTCGTTATGGCCTAGAAAAGATCTTGAGATTGGAGAATAACTAAGAGTAAAATTTGGAGAGCATAGGTTAATAATTGTACCATTCTGAAGAACTTCAGAATTTGGCTGAAAAGAAGTTTTTATTCATCTGTAGCTACTAAATTTCATGCACTGCAAGTGAAGGAAACTTCTGTGTTTTCAAATTTCTGAAGTAAATAATGGTTCACGTAATTCTCGAACATTATTCATTCCATTTATGGGCAGGTCTTGCAAAAGCAAGGTAAACTTTGGGCATTATAGTTCTTAGAGCTTTTTTGATCCTCTATGCTTTGTGATGAGCTCTCACGACTTCAATCAGTTGGTAAAAATTGAACAAATGATAGGGTAATTTTGACTCTCCATCTA